GCGAGTAGAACAAAGTGAAACTACATACAGAGACCGCTAATTCCTTTTAACAGTGTAAAATACACCATTCATTTATAGCGCACAACTAATGCAATGGTTTTATTCCTAAATGCTGCAACACTGACCATAAGCTACTATTGGCGCATTTTTTTTTCAGCCCAAACATATTTTACGCATTAAAATCTTACTCCGATTGCGTTACGCCATCCTGTATGTGACTGCTTAGCTCGCGTGCTTTCATGTCCATTCTGTTGGTTAGCGTACTCTCGCACATACTGCGGATCGGCCTTAGGACACACCACCTTATTCCTATTGGCTGTTGGCCTTCACTTGCGATTCTTTCCAATCTGGGGCAAGGATGCATTTATTCCGCATACCGTACAACTTATCCATGCTCATTTCTATACCCTATTTGCATTTTTCACCTTATTTAAATTTTTCTTCCACCTTTCCGGGAACACCATTTTCTGCGATACACCTACGGAGCCATTTACGCCCCCACTCATTTACCCCACCCGTATAGCCCCTATTACCACCGGTCCCGTAAGACAGGTTGCTGGGGGTTTTAGGTACCAGGTCGGCTACCAACTACCATCTAACTCAGTCATCCTTTTTGTTGTCAAAAAATATCGTAAAACTTAAAACCATTGTATTTAGCAAACCTATTTATAGAAAACCATGCTTACAGGAAAATGTAAATGAGAACCTAGTAAGAATAGGTTGTGTAACCCCACTGGGTTTAGCAAGTATAGGTAATTACTATATTTGTTTTAGAAGGCTTTATTTTGTTTATCAACCCATAGTTACAGGAAGTCCCCCTTTGTGTGTTATTAAACACTTTGATGTAACCGCATGCATCGAGTTGTTTCAGTATGACTTTTTAGTGATAAATTATTTGGTATGATGCTCTCGTTTCCCCTCCCCCCTCGTAATCACTTTGTCTTAGCTCGATTTCCCAGTTATCCCTATGTACTTGCATTGCCTTTCGTTGTCGATCCCATGCGCCGTGAATTACTCATTTCTCCAGGAAAAGCAGTTAAACCTCTTTCTGCCATGTCGGTACTCACCATATTATGCACACTGCAAGGATCGCCGGCTGCGCTTTGGTTTACTTTGCCTTCGTTGGAACACAAAAGCCGCGCTTCCTAGATATCTCTGAACGGCTTCGGTTGTGAAACACGTATGCCCGACTTATTTATTTCTTTAGGAATATTTGTGCGTAGTGCCTCCCATGAACAATAATAAGACGGTTAAATTAAATTGAGAGGTGGGGTTGAACAACCTACCGTTGCCGAGTGCCACTATGTTTTCGTATATCAGTGTACTATTCAATCACGTTGATACTTCCAAAAAATTGAGAGTCAGAATAAATGGTGGCGTGCTAACGTTGCTTCCGATAACTTCTCGTCAGGCCAGTACAGTTATATTGGGACGGGGTACAGTGGGTGATAAATCTATATAATACAGGCTAGGCAAGAGAGGAAGGGCGCAGGATGTTGTATGTGGTTAGTCAACCTTTGACCACGGTAAGTGCTGAACCTGAACGAGGTTCTTCTGGGCGCATAGGGTCGGTTTTCGTAACCTGATGGCGACCGCTTCTGCTGTTGCTGACAGGCGCTGGCCCAGTAGCTTAGAGTGGCTCGAGGGGACCGTATAAATCACACGAAATGCTTCACGAAATGCAGTTCACACGATGCCCTGAATCCACTGCATGCGCAAGGATGGCGCTGTCTATTCTCCTAGTTTCACCCTTTGCCAGCCATGCGGGAAGGTGCTCTCGTATTCTTTTGGAAAGGCGCCGACTCGTACGACCAATATAACTTGCTCCACAGGAGCAAGTGAATGCGTAGATGCACATTGAGGCGGTCTGAGGTGGCAGCCTATCCTTGCCTTCTCCGCGTAAATTAGGGTTAGTAGAGAATGATATGGGAAACTTTGCTGCTGGGAAGGTTTCCGAGACAGCTTAGTCAAGGCGTCTTCTTAGGAGTTCACTTGCAGTGTCTCCTTGGAAAGGGACTTTGAGAAACAAAGTTTTCTTTTCGACGGTCAGTGTGGTGGGCTTTGCGGGTCCTTCGGCAAGGTTCTTTGCGATAAACCTGTCAGGATACCCGTTTTCGCGAAGTAAGTCCTGGATTTTTCTAAGTTCCTCCTCAATACTATCTGTTCAACAAATGTCTCTAGCTGTTTGTGCCAAACACCTGACTAGAATTCGTTTTTGTTGGAGAGGTACGAAACTAGCGAAGTTCGTGTATTGTCAGTAACGAATTTCAAAACAGCAGTTTAGTGACAATTTAACACATAGTTACCAATTTACCTAACTATGCCCTTGTGGGATCATAAGTATGCCTTCCCGTCTAGTCATTGCCAGGTAATCCAGCGTCAGAAGTCTCCAAATCCATGGCTCTACCACCCGCGTCACTCAAGACAGGCCGACAATCAGAAGGCACATGATGCAGCCGAACGATCCGAGAAAAGTCGGTCGTTGTCTACCGACTTCAGCGTAGATGTGGAAAAAAACGACCAGCCGGTCGCTGCGAACGCGTGTGAATGAAAAGTATTTGCCTGTCGGAGTTTAAAACCAAAATCGGAGATGGCAACCGATGCAGTGCAGCCAGAGCACATACTTACTACTGATGTCGTCAAAACTTCGGGTCGATATCACGGTAACGCACCAGGACAGGTGCAAGTAACCTGGACGCCTCCTCCAGTTCAGTCAACTGTCGCACAAATTTATCTCCCATTTCTTGGTTGTACAAACACCCTTAACAAACGGCATGAGGCTGTTTGGACCGTCGCCATCATTACACGTCCTGGCCTTGCCATTGAGCACTGCCGCCCGGCACAGCGACTCAGGGTTCCCTGTCCAATTAAATCCCTTATTTGTATGTCCTCGGCTTTCTACTTCCAACTGAGACTTAACTTGATGATTGCGGTCGTCTGGATGGAGCCAATTCTTGGACGCGACAGTCCTCCCCACAAGATTGGCCAGATTCAAGCTGCTGTTATAGGCAACGTCTATCAGACGGTATCTACGCAAAGAACAATAATTACTATTATTCGCATTACGGATTGTCGCATTTATTCCCGAACAAAACAAATCCGAGAGTAATGTTTCGTTGGGAACCGCCTGTGAATCGTCCGGATGCTTTCTTTACGCTCTTCGTTTGAGTGGTTGAGGTTTAGGTATTTTTAGATCTAACTCCGACCATATTCCCACAACTGGTCCCAACTATAATCACTCCAGATTTACCGTAACCTTAATCCTACCCGTAAAAATAACACCAACACTAATCCAAACCCTAACGCCAAAGTCAGTCCCTAATCAAAGTCCAAGCCCGTACCATAAAACCCTCATACTCTAAACTTCCAAACTACCCACAAGATAAAGGTAGCGAGGAAAGAGTAGAAAAACTCGCACGGGGCCCTCGTGTGAGTTTAACTTGTCTTAAGGGCCTAGGGCGAGTAAGTCGTCCCGCGTCATTGCTGTAGATCATGACTAAATCAGTATACTCGGTGCGCCAGATGACTGACGGACTCGGACAACGGAATGGGGAAAGAGGACGAATCTGGAGAGGCCATCCCTCTGGCACTTCAGCGCATCCCTCACTCTAACCAATTTGATGCGCTCGAACCTATCACGATGCACTAGAAGCTGTGGCTTGGAATGGGATAACTCGGTCCATGTGGCCAGTACTGTATATATACGTGGGGTGATTAGCCAGAGGACTGGGTCAGGCTTAGTGGCTTTCTCTGAATGTGGCCCCTGTTGCGCTCCCACGAACGCGAGATCCAAACCGTGCAAGCTCGATCCATCCTGCGAGGGCCAGATAGTGCATAGCACGCGCAGACGGGCTACCTAGCTCTGCCAGTCACTACGCCCGGTCGCCCTGACTGTCTCCCCATTGGGACCAGGTGGGTGAGGGACGAGCGTGATAGATGCGGCGCAAGTCAGCCGCACTAAGTGAATCCATGCACAAGCCACTGTCCACGCCAATTACGCCCTTTGCACACGTTGAATATTGCCATATGAGAAGGTCGGGCTGTTGAATATGATAACTTCACTAAGGATCATCAGAAGGGCAAAAAAACAAACTAACATCACGTTGCTTGGCCATTGAAGACATTTTAAGAATAAGCGCCACTAATAGAAACTGAGCGGTGCGAGGACAGGAGTTGATGGCCGTGACAGGTCGCATGTTCAGAAACGTATGGGCTCATCGGAGGTCGCTATGCTTTCTAAGACAAGTATTGTTCGAAAATTCTTTGTGTCTAGGCTTCTGTCACAAAAAAAGGGGGGGGGGCGTTTTAATTTTGTAGGGATAACTCGGGGAGCTAGTTCATCCCCTTCATCTTCTCTACCTACCAAACATACCCTAGAAGCCGCCTCGACCTCGGCGTCAGCTAGAAAAATAGTCTGCGGCAGATTGTGCGCAGCAAGCTACTTAAGATTAATAAGCAGGCACTTTGTGGAAGTAAAACTTGGGGGAAATATCCGATCCACCTAATTGCTTGCGGTCGAAGAGCCCATCCAGGCCGTTCAGCAGTTGAAAAATTAAAAGGTCATCCCGTACCTAAGGCGAAACAAATTTTTGACAGACAACTGTGGAATTCGGGAAACTTTGGCCTGGACTTCCTTCCTGCCTTCATGGTGTATTCTAGCTGCAAGCGAATGGTCGAAATTGTTGGCAACAGCTGGCGTCGTGCGGTCACAGTTGACGCCGTTGTGCGTGATACTGCCTTCAAGGATTGTGTTGGGTGAGTCGTCTTGCGTGAGAGGACTTTACCCAATGCTGAGTAGTCTGACGGGTTATTTAGTCTGACAGATTTCCCGCACTAGGTTTTTGCGAAAGTCGTAAGACTAGATAGAGGGAAAATATAGTATTTTTAAATAATTGGTTCCTAGAGCAACAAGCAAACAATCGATTTCCTCAAAGGAACGGTTTAATAAACAACAAAAGAGAAGGCAACTTGGAGGAGGGTGTGGTGGGGGCGGGGGATATTTACGAAGACGCCTTGAGCGGTTCCGTCTCCCGCAGAAGCCAGTCACGTGTCCTCTGACGGGCAGGACTTAGGAGCCCATCGCCGCCAGCGTCTTGAGCAATGCGAGCGATCAATTCTCTTCTGACCAGACCGTGGTAAGCATCTAACCATTCGATTTCTGTTGGCGTTAGCCTTTCTCGTGCAATGAGTTTGCGCTGGAATGGCACCAGGGTTATCGGTTCGAAGGCCAAGAAGGTCGGAACCGCGGCAGCGGACGAGGGGACTGCATTGGCGTCCACAGAGGATGCTTCGATGACAATGTTCACGTTCTCCAACCGAATTCCATACTTGCCGGGGAGGTAGTAGCCGGGCTCAATTGTAACTACCTGATGACGGGGGAGGGGGGTGTTATTCAAGTGGATTCAAAGACAGGAGCTTAGAAGTGGATCTCAGACTATTCACAGCACGACCCGTTGACGCAAAATGCGCCGAAAATGCCAGCTTCCAAGCCGGGAATCACAATCACTTAGTAAAGACAAAGGGAGTTAAAAGAATCACGAGAAACAATATCCCTTAAAGGATTCGTCCTCTAAATCAGACCGGATCCTATCTAATTTCAGGTTAGGCGTCTGCGTAATTCCATGCGAGTGTCGACCGGTGCCAAATAAGCGGCCACAGGTCTTCCATTACGGCTACCTTACGTACTATTGTTTGTTCAGTAGGTGTGCTTGTGGTATTTTTTTTTGCCGCGGCGGCAAAAAAAAATACCACAAGCACACCTACTGAACAAACAATAGTACGTAAGGTAGCCGTAATGGAAGACCTGTGGCCGCCATGGCTAGAAGGAAACATTCAAACACACCTAGCAACCCGCCTCCGTAGGGTTTACGTGGAGTTCCCATTCCCTGTTGCCTAAAATTTATGTCCAACATACAATGCAACTTCTATGCATTTACGCACACAAACTTCTCTTACTCCAAACCACCTCTGGGCAGTTCCCCATGCGTTGCAGTTGCGCTGTTAACTGCCCGTTTGACGGTTTCTCGGTTTACGTAGTGTTTCCCGTCATCATCTCTCGGTTTCCAATCATGGTCCACTTGCCTCTCCTCCTACGCATTCCGGATTCCACCTAACTGAGTTGCCAGCATTCCCATTTCGTCTTTAGGACTACCACTTACGCCAGCTGTCCACTAACGTTTCCAGCCCGCCTTCAACTTCCGGGCGTACACCTGACCCTGCAGGCCTTCTCTCCGCATATTCTGCAACACCCACTCCTCCCCTCCGAAACTGAAAGGCTTACAGCCTACGCCGTCCAAACATACGTCTGTCACTTTGGGGTAGCTGCTACCACAGGCATTCGGCTCTTAGACCACTGCCGTATTTACATACACCTCTACCGCCTAGCCCACGCCTTTCCCCTTCCCCCCTTCCGAAGGCCTGTAATCTACGCCGTGCCGATATCATTTCCCGCAGTACCGCTCCCTTTTACGCAAACTTACCGCAATCGACAATTCCTTCATCGGCTGTTTCCATTTACGCCTGCTTCACAGTCTACTGTCCCTCCCAACCGGCTTTGTTAGTTGACCTGATATGCCCTTCCCTGCGGGTGGGTCATGTGGCTCGTTACCAGCTACAGCTATTCCTACTTATCGTCTACCGTGGCCGGCAGCGGCCTCAGACAGTCTCTACGTATCTCCCAGTTCCCGCCCTAAAGGCCTTCCGTAATCACTTCCTTCCTGACCTACAAGGGTTTATCGACGAGGCTTAGTGGACGTCATTGCATTATTCTACGTACGTAAATATGTTTACGTACCAAGCCTCCAAGGTTGGTCGATTAGTCGCAATCCTTACCGTTATATGACGGCTACGTTACCACTGCTAGAGACAGCCACCCATCCAACAGACAACGTCCGTTCAATTCCCCCATTAGTGATCCATAGGCAACTATCAGCTAACACAGCCCTTTGGATGACAGTTATTCAACTGCTTACCACACCTTACCTCATTCCGGAGGCTTCGCAGTACCGTAATCACTAATAACTACATGGACATTTGACATATTTACTCTGAATTATTAAAAGGTACAATACACTGGCCAGGTAGGGGGACTGGCGAGGTAGGGGATATCGTCCCCGACTGCCTTGGGCCGCCGGTTTGCCACAACAGTAATATACAACAGTTTGGTTTACAATAAAAAGGGTACGCGATTACACGCTTCCAGTTCCATGCGGTAACTCCTTGTCCACCTGCCCATGAATCTTCGGAAGAGAATCCCTCATCACCAGAAGACAATGGTACCTTAACTGTAGGTAGGCATGGACAGTAAATAAACGAGGTATGTAGTATTCCATTTACGTATTCCATCTGGGTCTTCGTTCGTTGCCTTCATCATTCGCCCATGGTTGGTTCTCCACAATCGACAGCTTCCTCTTTGACCGGCCGGTAACGGTCACCGGCACTACAGCTAGGCATGGAGAGTAACTGGACGAAGTACACAGTCATACCTTCCAGTCTTCCGTCCGTGCCTTTCATGGTTGGCTTTTCCAGTCGTCCATGGTTGGCTCTCCACAATCGACAGTTCCTTCTATGACCGGCCAGTAACGG